ATAATTATATACTATATGATTACAGTATAATTATTGAGAAAAGGTTTTCATTCAAAAGAAAATTAACAGAAGAGTAGCCAAAAGAAATCTCCCATTTGGAAATCTAAAAGTGCTTTAACTTAGTTTGAAGAAAAACCAAAGCTAAAGTTAGAAACTAGAGAAGAATGCCAATGAATTCCACATATCAAAACCAGTACAGGGCGGCCAGAACTATACTCCCCTCAGACCTCAAGGACTGAGGGCAGAAGCTTTGTTTTCCAGTGTAAGTACCTAGCACCTAGTCATTGCCAGGCACATACTAAGCATGTTGACCGAATGAATAGTTAGAAAGAAATTACAACATAAACCAAAGTCAACAGTAAGAAGGATTATCAAAAATAAAATACAGAATTGATAAAATAGAAAACAAAACAGTAGACTTAATCCAAAGTCTGTTTATTTAACAATACAATAAAATGGACTATTGGCAAATCTGGTCTAGAAAACAACACATTTAGCATTATGAATGAGAAACCCACTGCCATCGAGTCAATTCTGACTCATAGCGACCCCCATTGGGTTTTCGAGGTGGTAAATCTTTACGGAAGTAGATTGCCCCTTCTTCCTTTCATGAAGTGGCTGGTGGGTTTGAACCACCAACCATCTGGTTAGCAGTCAAATGCCTTAGGCACTGTGTCACCAGAGCTCCTTATAAATGAGAAAAAGGGTGGATATTTTGAAAATCATACTGTGCATGACTTTATTCTAATTAAAAATCTAGGGTTAGGATGTACAGTTAGCAGTGACATTAGAAATTTGTTACTTTATGTATTTAAAAAACATGCACAGGATAAAAATTTTGTAGTTGAAATTTCATATCCACCCCTCCCATCCTAATTATCCTTTATGGAGCAATCACTGCTATTTAGTTCTTGTATATATGTCTTGATTGTTGTGTTTCCGTAAGCATAGACATACACATAACACATTTTTATCAGATTTTTTACACAAATGGTAGGAAATTTCTAACACTGCTATTTTCACTTACCATACATCTTGAAGATTGTACTACATCAGTACAAATATAGCTGCTTTACCCATTTTTAACAGCTTCATAGTGTTCCACAATTTATTTAACCCAATCAATTTGTTTCCCTTTGATTATCTTCTGCTTTTTCAAATAATCCTATAATAAATATATTTGCACATAAATTATTCTGTACATGTGTGATATATCTTTAGTGTAAATTCCTAAAAGTGGAAATTACAAACTTTTTAAATTTTGTGCTATGAATAAATTTCAACATACACAAAAATAAATAGAATCTTATAATGATCCTCAATGCACTCATCACCAGCTTCAACAATTACCAGCTCACAGCCAATCTTGTTTAGTCTGTATGCCCACCCATAGCCCTACCTTCATGTTATTTGTCAAGCAAATCCCAGATATATCATTCTATCCATAAATATTTCAGCATGTATCTCTAAACTATATCACAATTTTAGAAAAGAATTTTACACCTTAGAAAAAATGACACTACCCTCACATTATTATATCTGCTAGTCAATGTTCATATTTTTAACTGTTTCATAAATGTCAATTTAAAAAGAAAATTGTTATCAAGGCCAAATAATGACCACAAATCACATTTAATTGTTATGTTTCTTAAGTCTCAATGTATATATCCTCCCTCATTTTTTTCGTTACGATTTAATTTTGGAAGAATATAGGTTATTTGCCTTGTAGTTTCCCAGAGCCTGGTTTTTGCTGATTACATTCCTGTGGTAGCTTAACATACTGTCCTGTCCTCAATATGTCCTATAAATTGGTAATTGGGAATCTCAAGGCTTGACCATAATGAGGTTCAATTTTTTTTTTTTTTTGGCAGGATTACTTCATAGTTGTCTAATATTAAGAAACATGTACTACATAGTTGTCCTCTCATGATGTTAGCAGCCATTGATGTTCGATTCATCTAATGATTTGTTGTCATCATTGTTAGGTGCTGTTTAGGCTGCTCCTATTCATAGCAACCTGTGTACAACCAAATGAAACACTGCCTAGTCCTACACCAGCCTCACAATCGTTGCCATGCTTGAGCCCATCATCACAGCCACTGTGTCAATCCATCTCATTAAAGTCCTTTCCCTTTTTCGTTGACCCCCTACTTTCCCTACCATGATCTCCTCCAGGCACTGGTCTCTTCTGATAACATGATCAAAGTTTGAGAGACAAAGTCTGGCCATTTTTGCTTGTAAGGAGCATTCCACTTGTACTTCATCTGAGGTAGATTTGTTCATTCTTCTGGCAGTCCGTGCTACATCCAATATTCTTCACCAACACCACAATTCAGATATATCAATTCTTCTGCAGTGTTCCGTATTCATTGTCCAGCTCTTACATGCATATGAGGCTATTAAAAATATCATGGCTTGGGTCAGGGGTACCTTAGTTTTCAACATGATATCTTTGTTCTTAAACACTTTAAAGAGGTCTTTTGCAGCAGATTTGCCCAGTGCAATACATGGTTTGATTTCTTGACTGCTGCTTCTGTTGGCACTGATTTTAGAGCTAAGTAAAATTAAATCCTTAACAACTTCAGTCTTTTCTCCATGTATCCTGATGTTGCGTATTGGTCCACTTATGTTGCTCTTCATCAGTAAGTGCGTCAAGTCTTCAGCCAGTAAAGTTTTATCATCTGTATGTTGCAAGTTGTTAATGAATCTTCCTTCACTCCTAAAGCCACATTCTTTTTTCATATAGTCCAGCTTCTCGGGTTATTTGCTTAGCATACAGACTGAATAAGTAGGGTGAAAAATATACAACAAATGAACACCTTACCTGATTTAAAACCATGCAATATTCCCTTGTTCTGTTCAAACAACTGGCTCTTGATCTATGTACAGATTGCTCATGAGCATAATGAAGAGTTCTGCAATTTCCATTATTTGCATTGTTATCCATAATTTGTTGTGATCCACACAGTCAAATGCCTTTGCATAGTCAATAAAACACAGATAAACATCTTTCTGGTGTTCTTTGCTTTCAGCCAAGATCCATCTGACCTCAACAACAATATACCTCATTACGTCCACCTGCTTTTCTGAATCCAGTTTCTGGCAGTTCCCTGACAATATACTACTGCAGCCATTTTTCAGTTATCATCAGCAAAATTTTACTTCCGTGTGACTACACCACCAGAGCTCCCAATATTAATGATATTGTTCAATAATTTCCACATTCTGTTGGACTACCTTTCTTTGGAATGGGCACAATTATGGATCACTAACAGTTGGTTGGCTAAGTAGCTGTCTTCCTTATTTCTTGTCATAAATGAGTGAGTGCCTCTAGCACAGCATTCATTTGTTGAAACATCTCAGTAGGTAATCTGTCAATTCCTAAAGCCTTGTTTTTTGCCAGTTCCTTCAGTGCAGCTTGGACTTCTTCCTTCAATGCCGTCGGTTCTTGATCATATTCTAGCTACTTCCTGAAATGGTGAAACATCAACCAATCCCTTTTGATACAGTGACTCTGTATATTCCTTCCATCTTCTTTTGATGCTTTCTGCACCGTTCAATATTTTGCCCATAGAATCCTTCAGTATCACAACTGAAGGCTTGAATTTTCTCTTCAGTTTTTTAAGCTTGAAATATGCTAAGGTTTTTTTTCCCCCTTTGATTTTCCAACTCCAGATCTTTGTACATTTCATTATAATACTTTACTTTGTCCTGTCAAGCTTCCCTTTGAGATTTTCTGTTCAGCTCTTTTACTTCATCATTTCTTCCATTAACTCTAGATAGTCTTCTTTCAAGAGCAAATTTCAGAGTCTCTTCTGACAGCTATTTTGGTCTTATCTTTCATTGCTGTGTTTTTATGACATCTCTACCAGCACAATAGGAGCTCTGGTAGCATAGTGCCTAAGGCACTTGACTGCTAACCAGAAGGCTGGCGGTTCAAACCCACCACCCATTCCTCAGAAGGAAGGTTGGGCAATCCTACTTCTGTAGTGATACTGCCTCGGAAACCCAAGGAGGGGTCGCTATGAGTCAGGAC